TCTAGTCGAACCCCATGCCCATTTTTCCCAACAAGTTGGGAAATAACCTATTATTGCTATATTGTCGGGTGTTCCCCACTGTTTGTGACATGTCCCTCTTTTTGTGCAATCCGCACCCTCACAAGTCCCTCATTCACGCTCCATTCTGATTGTGAAACTATGATCATACCTGACGGTATGCCACCCACAAGTTGGGAATAAACATTATCATTATCAACCACTCTTTCAAGTAGAGGTGCACCGGTGCTATGTGTATGTGTGAATGATTGGGATGTGGGGCCAAACAAGTATTTCATTCGTAGCGCATCTTCAGACCCACCATTTGATATGTGTACACTGCACGTATTCAGGGGATGCCTTCCGCTCACACAGCATATACGGCAACGGATCAAGAAGTATCGAGGTACATGAGAGGATCTCTTTGAGCAAAACGCAGCCTGCTACAATCTCATTCGACGGAGCCAATATGACCAGTATTAAAATGCACAAACTAGATCCAGGGAGTAATCGAACCAGTATCAAATAACCTAATGATGTTCACAACCACTTACTCTAGTTTAGTTGAATGTTCCTTGACTGAACAGGTGGAAACATGAATGAGAGGGCTGCGAACCGTGCGTAAATTTTCTTCCGGTTTTGAGCACACCGAAAAGACATTATCAAACTGTTATTAATAATAATAATAATAATAATGTTTATTCCCAACTTGTGGGTGGCATACCGTCAGGTATGATCATAGTTTCACAATCAGAATGGAGCGTGACTGAGGGACTTGTGAGGGTGCGGATTGCACAAAAAGAGGACCATGTCACAAACAGTGGGGAACACCCGACAATATAGCAATAATAGGTTATTTCCCAACTTGTTGGGAAAAATGGGCATGGGGTTCGACTAGATCAAAGACAGTCAGGTGACATGAACCGAAACTGAAGACCATTGCTGGTCATGGGTGACCTTGGGTGGTTAGGTAAATGGCCGGAGTCACAACGAGCAAAAGTGGAGATGGAGATGGGATAATCCAAATTGGGAGCACATGACAAGTTTTGTCTCAAAATTGTGGTTTAATCTGAAAGCAAGCATACTCACCGGTTGCACTGTTGCAGGTGTGTCAGGTGCAGGGGAATAGGTTGGATGGGGACAAGTTACTAATACATATTGCGACCTGAACTCCGTATACGGATTTGAACTTGTGCAACAGGCAAGTCGAAATTGCAGCAGGAAAGCCAGGCTAGGCAAATCTGAGCGCAAATTCATTGGGTACGGAAGAGCTCATCCCAGAGACGTGGCCGGATGAAAACTGCCACCATCCTGTTGACCAATGCAAGAGAGGATTCAGGTAAAAAATAGAGGGCCCATGGGGCACAGGGTAACAAATTTTTCGATCCGGAGAAGCACGGAATATCAGTTTATGAATTCACCTTGTTTGAACTGGAGCAAAATGCTTTACTGACACTGACTGAACCCGAACTTTTGGCATAGTAGGAGGCAGTAACAAAAACTAGGCGGGAATTTTGAAGCAGGGATATTTGGATTAAGACAAAAATCGGTTCGCACCCTCGAATTATGTTGTAATGAACGTGGATGAACTTACTCTTTTCTTTTTTGAAAGGATGCAAAATTATGTATGGTTTAGATGGAATAATTGATGATAGCCCCTGAGAACATGTCATAAAATTGTGTGATTTTCTGACAAGACAAGGTGACTTTTCTGCAAGATTTCAAAGCGCTTATGTCCAGGTGAGAGTGCAGACCGCCAGAACAAACCGGCTTCAGTTGGTTGGACAGGTGGACAGTTCGTACCTATTTTCAGGCCGCGATTTGAGGGGTCTCGAGTAAATAACCGGTGGCATGTATAAACTAGCCACATGTCGACCATCGGAATATCCATGGAGGTATGGTTCCACCACTTACTGAAGCGTCTCTTATCAGATATCATTCTGCTCTACATACGGCACACTCAATAAAGCATTGCAAGAGGTCAGCAGCGGCAGCAAAATGGCACGTCCTGGTTCTTGCCAAGCCTCACTTGGTTAGCAGGCGCGATGTCAAAGCTGGATAGAAGGTAATTGATTTTGGTAAAGTGCAGTATTTGCCCTTGAGTTAAGGGGTCAAGAATTATGGTCTTACGACTGCTTGGTGACGACTGTTGCCGGGCGAATTAACCAAGAACTGGAATGATTGGGTCCATGTAACTCCCATTCCCATATGGGATAGAGCAAACTTATGGCTGCGTTGCTGTGACAGCACATTACCAATGATCAAGAAAACATGTCACTCAAGAAGGCGAAACGTGACAATGCGGCGCAGGCTGAAGTTCACCACGAGATACGAACTTCATTGGATTAAACTTATGAAAGCGGATAACTTGCATGTTGTGATTTTTCACGAAAGTTTTGCTTGACGGGGTAGGCAGATAATTCCATGAGTCAGATGTCATCGGAACCATTGGCCCTTGGGACCAGTTCCACATGAATTTGCGGGATGCATCTCAATTTCTGCAAAGGGTCGGTATGCTTGACACAGCCTGCTTTGCGATTACGGAAGACCCCAGAAAGCACAGTCTGTCGACTTCGGCGATTACGTAACCGGCTTACAAATAGACGGAAATTAATTAAAATATACCGATCTCTACTTAACGCACTTCATGTCCAGCATGAATGAAAGACTAAAGCATTCAACATTTCCCCTTTCCGCTTCTAACCATCAATTTCTTTTTCCATTCGAACCACGACCTAATTTATCTGGAAAACGTTAACTTACCACTAACACTACATGATTTGTAGTCGTTGTAGCGGACTAGGACCTTAACACCGTGTTCCGATAAATTAACAAGCAAAGTAACCAATACAAAATCACAAAGTCACAATGGGAAAAGAAGGAGTAGTCAAATGGGGACTCACGAATGTGTAGTTCCAATAGTCCACTACACCGATCCAAATGCAGTAACTGGCCGTGAAAGGAAATATTCACTTGTCGGAATTTCCCACAGATGGTTCCACATGAGTGATATATTCCACGGTAGGGAAAATTATTACGGCTAAAAAATGTCACAGGTATTTATTGTGACGTTAAACAATTGACACGGGCACAGAGATTTGGTCCCACTGGTTCAACAGTCGACAAACAGTTCAACGGAGCGTAAATACGCTCGTTCAGCAAGAAGTCAGCAGGTCGCGGCGGAGAATTGTGTATTCGTAACATTAAAACAAACGTCATGATACAATGTGAACGACAGTTACAAAGAGTGGTTTAAGTTCAGGAAGAATGGTAAATGTGACAACGGAATGCAGACACTACATCCTAATAAATGGCTGCAGCACCAACTCGGCTCCCAGCTTGGGTCACGGAAGATCTTAAAGAAAACCGAATGCAACTGAAAGTCAAAAAAACCAAGCCGGACAACCTTCAAGAGGGTAGCGGAATCATGTACAAAAATAATAATTAGAACACCGACCTCATGTTTATAGGAACTCCAATATTACTAGTGGATCCCTCTACGCATCTGGACAGTTTCTGACCCCTTAGCACAGCGTTCACCTCACACAGGCGGATGCTGGAGTTACCAACAATAATAGCATCTCCATTGAAGCAGGTTTTATGAGCGCGGAGCAGAGTACGCATGAGAAATTATCCATTCTTATTTCCAGAGGGGATGCAAAACGCGCGGTGCCATAATTCACACCCTGAGCGCTAATTTCAAAGGGATTTCACTTAACAAGCACGAACGGGTGCACATTAGCCGCACACTGTCCAAAGCTGCAAAACCTTTACAAGTGGAGCAAAAAATTTTGCGCCAAAATGTTGCATCTTGTTGCATATGTACTCAGATCATACATCATCCTTATATACGCTCCAAATTTTGCAGCTCACCAAAATTTCACTGTACACTGAAGCGTCATACCTTTGGCGGAAAAGTCTGGAGGAATAATTTTCCAGCATCGCTGAGACCCCGGGGTACCTAAATATGGTTCAAAAGTTTCGACTGGTACTCTGTAATCAATTGGTCGACTGCTTTATTCCATCAGAGACACGTCATAGCTTTGGGAAATTCATTTCCATACCAAGAGCCGCATGAACATGCACCGAAATTCACCAGACAATCGAACATAAACGTTAGCATCTACAACAAATTTAAGTGCGCTGGACCAGTATGCAATTTTCCAGGCTGAGACCCCGGGGTACCTAAATATGGTTCAAAAGTTTCGACTGGTACTCTGTAATCAATTGGTTGACTGCTTTATTCCATCAGAGACACGTCATAGCTTTGGGAAATTCATTTCCATACCAAGAGCCGCATGAACATGCACCGAAATTCACCAGACAATCGAACATAAACGTTAGCATCTACAACAAATTTAAGTGCGCTGGACCAGTATGCAGTCTCCGCATTTTTTGCTTACCAGGAAAATTTAGAAACGAGTAATCACAGGAAGTCCTTTCTCTAACACTGTGGAACCATCCGCTTCCGAATGTGCTCAATCAAGAGAGGTTAACCTAAAGGCAGGCTTGGCCACAACTTGTCACTCCGAAAGTTGAGAAGCATGTAAATCAGGATCGTCTTTTATTTGAGCACATGAGAAACGAAATGCAACATTTTGACGCAAAAGCTTTTACCACAATTCTAAAGATTTTGCAGCTATGAGCAGTGTCCGGCTAATGGGCCCCGGGATGTCTAAAAAATAACGGAATAACGCCCTGGCAGAACAACGCAAGATATTCATGTACGGAGCTATCCACGGATCCAGGTGTGATGTCACGATCATGGAACCGCGATCGCTATAACCATTCTGATTGCCTGCAGGTAGCTCCACCTAGTCTAATATTTCCACGCCGAGCGAGTGACATGCACCCAAAAGACCGTCTCACTCCGCTGAATTTGTGCCAAAACTCGGACGTGCCGGCAAGCCTATTATACTATCTGGTGGCACTATACTGCGAATTAGTGAAAAACATCGGTATCCTGAGCGGGTTGTTTTAACTTTCCGGATTCTCTCTGGCGCCGAGTTTGAGCGTTGCCCGCAATTTGTGGCGCCCTGGTTTACCTTGACGTTTAGCGAGGAGTATTGCCTTGATTACAGGCAGAATAACGTCCAGAGTGTTGCAGCCATGGATTCATTTATTTCCACATGAAAAATGCTGAATCTGTACGGAACAGTATACAATCCTCCCACTCATTTATTCACCTCTTCAGTCAAGGAACATTCACAAAACTACAGTAAGTGGTTGTGAACATCATTAGGATATTTGATACTGATTCGATTACTCTCTGGAACTAGTTTGTGCATTTTAATACTGGTCTTATTGGTCCCATCGAATGAGATTGTGGCAAGCTGCGTTTTGCTCAAAGAGATCTTCGCATGTACCTCGATACTTCTTCGGTCCGTTGCCGTATATGCTGTGTGAGCGGAAAGCTTATCGGTAGGTACTGGGTCCTGATTGGTGAAATGCAAAAATGTCGGGACACCTCTGCCTTGTATAGGCGATAATTTTTGGTCATAAACTTGGCGACTTGTTGATTGCGCTAGTCATTTTAGGAGGTAGTGTATGCGCCCCTGTAAGCCTTTTCGCTTATGGTCAAACAGTGATTCACGCTTCAGCGACGTTTTGTGGCCTGAGAAGAAGGTGAAAACCCTCACGGGCCGCCGTACTGAGAAACGTCCAGGGTTCAGATGCTGCTGCCTCGGTTGGAATGTCGAACGGGTTAGTTCCTATTGGCGAAGGTATGTCGAGAAGATTGCGACTGGGCATTTCATTTTTTTTAGAGCTTCATATGCTGTTGTCGCGTTGTTCCGACGCTACCGAGAAGCAACCACACCTCCTAGAACTCTCCGCTTGTAGAAGTGATCCCTCTTTAGAGGAAGCTCGGGTTCCCTAAGCTTTCATTGTGGTCTGCTTTGTAAGCAATCTTTGAAACAATCTCAAGTACGGCAGTCAAGCGTCGGTGTTGAACACCGATGTCATTCTGTCGATGATGGTGAAGACAGTGCAGAGCATACAATAATAGTAGGCCTGGTAATCAGTGTCAAGGTGTTCAGTCATTCCTATCAACTTTGCCCCTTAGTGTGTAATAGCTGATTCGACCAACTTTACCTTCGAGATAATCCATGCGCAGTATTCCCTTTCTAAGAACTGATTCGACAAGTCAGTCAGTGTATTGTAAGAAGTCTTGATCATTTTAATTTCGTCGTCACCATCTATCGTGTTGGTTGGTTGCTAAAGTTACAACAAATGGTCTGAATTTCCATGCTAGTTACTGGGGTAATTGTGCCAGCCTCTTTCCTGGTGGTTGAATATGTGTTGTGGCAACATCCCCTCTGAAACACCTGGATTTCGAACCAAAGGCTTTCGTAGAGGACCTTAGTATTCTTGCCTCAGCTTGGCTGTCTGGGAATATCTGAGCCCGCATGCTCATCATCATCAACGACAGCATGACATCAGTGTTCAACACCGATGCTTCACTGCCGTACAACCATGACTTATTTGAAAGCCTTATTGTAAAGAAAAGAATAAAGGTGGA